TCTTTGTAGGATTCCTATTTTTTTTTTAATTTTGGTTTCGGTTGAAATTCACATATAGACGAGTGTTTCGGCAAAAGTTTCGGTCGGACTCTAATTCTTGACGTCCGCAGAATTTGGTGGAAGAGGAGGGCGAGGAGATTGCAGGCAGCACTATCCAAGATCTGCGCCTTCAGCATAACGAGCTGCGTAGTCTAGACGGCTCTCTGTTCCTAGGCATGAAAGAGCTGCAGAGGCTCAATCTTAGCCACAACGCGCTGGGCCCCACGATCGGACCGCGCGATTTGCGCGGTCTCGACGGGTTACGCGTGCTCGACATCTCGCACAATCAACTCACCACCCTCGAGGATACGTCGGAGGTAAATATAAAAGTCCACTCGAATTTCCTTTTTGCTTTCTCTCTCTTTTTTTTTTTTCTTCGTTCGATGTGCTATATAATCGTGTACCAAATTGTACGATCGTGATTTAGACGTGGCTACCGTCGCTGGAGGAACTGAACGCGTCGCACAATCGCCTGGTTACGCTGTCCGGTCGAGATTTTCGCGGTTTCCCGGTGCTCTGCTGGGCCGACGTTAGCATGAATCAAATACGTACTCTCATGCCGGAGCTGGTGGCTAATACGCGATGCACGATTCACGGAGTTCCCGACGTGCTACGTATATACCTTCAAGGTGAGCTTATATTAGATACACACTCTCTCTTTTTTTCAAGGCATCCCTCTTCGCAGCCTTTTAGTATCATATTTAACGCTATCGCACGTATTTCTATTCGTGCACACAACAGATTGTTTATAATAACATTATATAATAGCAAATATTAGAATTGATATTGTACTATTTAAGACTCTTCTATCGTACATCTCTTACCGATCTGAAGAAAAAGGGCAACAACGAGAAAAAGTGATTCATCTTTTTTTTTTTTTAAACATTCCAGGTATATCTATATAACGTTGCTCGATAAAATAACTCTTAATTAAAGGCGACAAGACACATGAATTTAATTTTGATATAACATAATCGCATTGATGAGAAAAAAAGGTATGCGCAATGTTATCTATTATTCGGCCAGTACGTGAAAGATTCGTCACAGACGAACGATAATCGAGTTAACAGTCGTAAACGAGACTCTGATTCCCATAGGAATCTCCGCTCAGTGAGACAACTGTTCGTTCCACAGAGAATTCTGATGTCTCACAAGCGAATATTCAATTTAATAAACTATAAATTTCACACTATACTGGAATAAACATCTAAAGATATATTCATTCTAATTTTATGAGACTGCACACAATTTACAGCTTCCCTGCTTTTTTCTCGCTAATATTGTTTCTTTTTTGACTAGGGGCTGTTCGACATTATTTGATGAATGATTGATGAACGATTAAATTCAATTAGATATTAATAGAAGAGGATAGTACGATGAGTGGCGCCAGCGACATCGCATAATTAATAAACACCGCTTGTAAGGTCCAGCGTGGACAAACAAACGGTGGGAAGGCGAGCAAGGGGAAAAAGAGTGAGAGAAGGGACTGGTGAAGAGAGCAGCCGGGCGCGAAGGGGACGGAAAATAAATTACTGGCTGATAATCGCCTGGCTCCGTTCGGCTCCCGAGGCGTACATTATTTGTTACAACGGTTACATTTCTCGCGATAACCCCCGCTGCGGCGCCATCTCGATTTATTTATTATATACCGGCGTCTGTCTGTTGAGCTTTGTTATTGTTAATGTATCGACTCTGTCTCTTTGCAGCCACGCTATCGTGCCCAATCCCGTTATCTTCTGGCTGCAGGTCTCAGCTTCTATTTGACACTTTCTTTCCCTGCTTCGCTTACGATTTCGCACCCGGGAAACTCAGGGGACTTGCGACGAGAACTTGTAACGAAAAGTTTAGGAAAGCCTTCGAACCGCGAATGTGACAATTGCTATTAACGATTGATATTGCAATCTTTGTTATCACAGCTGGCGCCACATTGTCATTAATCACTCGTGTTTTTACGATAGTTTATTTTTTTACGATAATTTACGATCAAAATACTGTGACTCTTGAATTTAGGGCTGAGATATAGCAAAATATATTGTATAAAAGCACAAGATACCATAGGAAAACGAAAAAAATCAAATCGCCCGTGATGCGTGAACGAGCAAGCTACATGCTGTATTTCTCATATCTTATTGTTGCTCCACTTCATCGTCATGTGTCACGCGGTAAGCCCTTACACTCACACGCACGCTTTGTTGCTCGCAGATAATCCCGTGCTGTGCGACGCCGCTCTGGCCGACTTGACCGTCGCGCTTGAGGTAAATCACGCCAAGGTTTACGGGGTCGGCAGCGATTGTCCAACCACGACAACGCCCGCGCCGTTGACGACGGTCGAATTGACTTCGGCGCTACCACCGGCACCGCTACCACCGACGCTTCTGCAGTTGGCCGCCGCCGCGGCGGCCGCATCCAGGAGCAACGTGTCCTTCGCTGCCACCCTCGAGTAAAGGCTCCAGCGTCGCCGCGGTGCGTGCTGGCCCTATGAGAATAATTGCGCGAGCACCACATCAAGCAGGGTGAAGATCCGACGATGAAAAGGAGAAGAGATCTGAGAAATTCGCGCAAGAACTTAATGTCTTCGTTTGGACGAGACGGCGAGGAAGGCGCGAGGTAGACCACCAAAGTATGAGCGGAGCGATTGTTAAAAACGACATGCCGTTTCCGTAGACACCCATTGTAGTGTGCATTGCGTGTATGTACATGAAATGTAACATGCTCGAGGATACTACCGAGTGTTCTTGAAGTATTTCGTTTTTCCAGTGATTTCGTGACGGTGTGTTTGTGGATTTGTCTCGGCACATAAATAGAGAAGCGATTTTGCGCGCTCGGCGATCTCGCAAAATCGCCGAGAGAAGCACCTTCTTTAGGTGTAGCAAGTCCCGAGACGGACCAGGACAGCTTCGATAAGTATGTATACTTAGGAGAAATCTTGCGCGTCCAAAAATATCCCGTTGGATATTCGAACGAGGACCACTCGTTTATTTGATAATGGAGTCTTGAAATAATTTGAGAAAAATTCAAGATCCAGATTCCTTACGTTGTAAGAGAAAACGAATTGTACTGCGTGCTAATAAATTATATTCATTTTTCTGTTCGGTAACAGATAGAAGTCCTTACATGCCCACATGCATTGTAAATAGTCACCGGCGAAAATTTCCGCGTTTATATAGAAGTAAGTTTTAAATTTTCCTCTTCATTGAGCGCGCAAAATAGAGAATGGCCGACGTGTCTGCGAAATTCGATCGCAGACATGTTGCATTGATTGGCGATTCTATCATAGATGACGATTCATTCTTATATTCGCTAAGTATCAATTCCCTCTTTTTCGCTTATGGCGTTCTCGACGCGAGATGCAATTGCATCCGCAATATGACAAAGCAATAAAAAATATATATCATTGTATTTTGGAAAGGCACGTACAGACATTTCGAACCCACAGCAGAAATATGTTAATCATCGTTTTTTCTGATAAGTTTCCGACATATCATAGAGCAACGATATGAATGAAGCAATAACAGCAACATTTTACAACGTGATAACTCGCGGAAGACTTCGGTCTCAAGTTTCTCGATGGTCATGTATATGCAAATGAATTCCCGACGGGTCAATGGAGCAAATGAAATCTGTTAATTTTATGCCATTGGCATGGGCAGATTGGCAGTGGGCGATCAATTGACTCCTTCGTTAACTCGTGCCAATAGGGACGAATTGTTATCAGCGTGCCTCTACGCATACATAATGGGATCAGCCCGTCCGTCATCCGCGTACGGTGTTTAGTTATTCCATGCGCGCGTAAATAATAATATTACGGTAAATATAGCGTAAACATCCGTTCTTCCGAAAGATTCGCGAAAAGAAACACCCCACGAAGCATTCTTCCCTTAATCAATATTGTAACATTAAATGCGTTAATTGTAAATAAAAAATTTCGGCTAAATGTAACATCAAAAATTTGCAAGGTCCTTAAAAAAATTACCGTGCAAATGGCGCCATTTTGAGACTCGAGATTATTAAATTTATTACGTTCATTTTTTTCCAACCAATGTAGTTTAATTTTTATTTAACTCTTTTTCTAGTTCTAAAAATTATAAAAGGATGAAGAGTAAGTTGAACCGAGATTGAAGTTAATCTACGTTAACAGAAACAGGTATCAATTATACATTTTAAACGGGCATGATTAGTATCTCTTGATTTTTCACATATATAGATATATATACACATTGCAGAAGGCAGCCAATAGCACGATTGCTAGCTTAATTTTAGCTAGAACTCAAAATCAAAATAATTTATCTCTATTAAGTATTTTAATGAAAAATAACTTTACGTCGTGGAAAGGCATCGCGGGAATCGTGAAAGAAATGATCAAGTATTACAACGAGCAAATATAATACCTATCTAATAAGTATGCAAGATATGAAATATTATTAAAGATGATCACGCGGTATATTAACGTTAAGGTCCAAATATCGTACTGATTTTACTTATAAGTGAATTTCTCACGATGTCTATGAGGACGACGCAATGTTATATGTGTAGGTACCATTTATATATATATACACATATGTATAAGTATATGTACATATATATACTTATAAAGACAAAGCAGAGACCTGTTTATATAATTTTAGCAACTAAGTTATTATTTATCTGCACTGTGATTTGCAATTTGCTCTTTTATGACTTTTATGACAAAATAAAAATTGAAGGAGAAACAAAAAATATACCGCTGTAATGATGATATATATATATGCATATAATTAAATAAAATCGTGCCGACGTTTAGACAGTGTCATATGTTACATATCTTATACATATACAATTTATTTTAGGTATCTAAACTTTTTATTAATAAAAACCACTCTCGCAACGAGAAGTAGAATATGTTATTTTTTAATCTTAAAAAAATATGTCTATTTTACAAGTTATTATAATTAACGATGCATTACATGTTTTATAGTTTTATTCTACGTTTTCATGTAATGCTTTAAAAATATACTTCGTACTTGATAAAGAAACAAAGAGATATCCGAGACTCTGGAACGTTCAGAAGAATCCTTTGTAATGCTTAGTTTGTTAAAATGCTCTTTCCTTATTCTCGGTTCAATTTGTTCGACTAAAATGATGATTAACTGTCTCAACAGTGTCAACTAATTATATTTGTTATTCTAGATTTAATTTAGAATGTTATATATACCTGTCCAGTGGTTATCACTGTATGATAATTGAACGAAGTATTTATTCTTTGCCTCTTCATTGTTTGTGAAAAAGGACATTGTTATGAACTGACAATTCTTATCCTCTTGAAGACTTATATGTATATCCAAATGTACTTTGTATTTGAGACATGCACGTTTAATGGCATCCCATTGTGAGATTTTCTTTTTCTTCCTTTCTTCTATTTCTACAAACATTAAAATGAAATAAGAATAGATTCGATTGGGAGAGAAACAATGAAATATTGAACTTGCAGATTCAAATCCAGCCAAAAAGATGTACTTACCCTGCTGTATATCTACCATTTCCAGCAGCAAGGCTTCTCTTCGTGCCTTTACCTTTTCCAGCTCATCCTTTACATCCTCCTGTGACTTTATCATATTTGATATCTTCTTATCTGTTATTTTTTGTTGCAATATGACAGAATCTATGTCAGATTTTGCTGTGGTAATTTCCTGTTGCAGCTCTGACATCTTATCCATGTAAACAGATTTCTTTTTACTACAATCTGCAAAGCAAAGACAAAAGATTGCTCTTGTTAGCCCAGTTCCATCAATGTAAGATTAACTTTAATCTTGGTTCAACTTACTGTTTACCCTTTCTAATTTTTAGAATTCTTAGAAAAAGATAGAGTAACCAAGATTAAAGTTTAATTTTACATTGATGGAATCGGGTCTTGTACTTGTAAATGAGTTCTCACGAGTAATACTTCTTACTACGTGAGTTCGATTTTTTCACCAAGTCTTCGACAGTTTGCAATTACAAAAGTACACAGGAGACTGTACCCTTTTCATAGAGGCGTTTCTGTTCGATTCTGGAGTCAACACGTAGCCGAAACTCTCGACACGACGATATCCATTCATCCTTAATGTTGTTTTGGAAGATGTCATTTTGGAAGATGTCAAGTACATTGCACTTAAGCCCCTCAATAGCCATTGCACTCGCAAATAAGTTCGAGTAAATAATAACTGTTTTCCGGATCAGTTGTATGATTTACACTAGCCATAACCATATGACTGTTGCGTTGGGACGCGTTCAAAATATTTTGAATAGCAGTGATGCCAACGTCGCGTCACGAATGTCGCTAAAATTCCAAGTCGGTAAACTAGCGACTGGCGAGTATTTTTACCAATCTAACTTCCCACTACACACGACTCTAATTCGCAGTTTTTCGAATCAGGTGGCGCTGAAAAGTACTTCTTTTTTTCATACGTTTCATTCAAAAAAGAAACCGCGAATTCGTTCAATGTCTATTTCTACCAATGTAGGGTAACTTCAATAATACTTTTAATTACGCTATCTTTTTCTAATTTTTAAAGCTAGGAAAAAATAAAAAAATAAATAAAACTGAAATTCATCTTTTTTTTTGTTTATTCGCACACATTCACAAGCCTCTCTATATTAATTCTCAATTACTTGAGATCGTAAAGTGCTATAAAAAAATTTAAAAAAAATAGACGAGTATTAACAATAAAAATTTCCATTTTTAACAGCTTTAAACTAATAAATATAACTATATAACTATATAAATAAATTCTACATATTAAAAAAGAAAAAGTTGATTGGGAAGAGCACAATTAACAGCAATTTAAGTGCAATTAATTTCTTGCAAAAGAATTTCTCAATCAGATACAAAAACACAGAACTTGCTGTAAAAAGATCTAAATATTAAAAAAATAAAAATTATTAAGATATTTTTTAACTTTACATATATTTTATGATTTTGCATTAATAATTTAATTTTATTTCGAAGACAAAAATATGTAGACGTTACATTCAGGTACCTACATATATAATGAATTATTTTTAATATATTGTAATAAAATAAATCAAGTATATCTGATAGATATAGATAATAATTGTTTTTTGTAATTATATTCTGAATCTTTGTATGTGAAACATTATAATTATAAATA